CAGCTACATCTAAAGCTCTTTGGAGACAAAAAACTCTGGGCTGAGATTATCTTTTAAAAAGTCTTGCAAAAAATATTTTAAGTAGAATGTACTTAATACATTCTTGCTGATTGAGATCTTATCAAGGGTGAAGAATGCAAGGAAAAGAAAAAGAGTATGATCTCCGATTTTAATTCCAGGACTAGGATCCCTGCGGGAGGAAGGGAGCTGGAATTGCTGCTAGTGGAGAAGGGGGTGGGAGTGCAGAGAGAGGATATTAAACTACCACTCACTGCGCACTCAGTGGGCCGGTCCCCTTATGGACACTCTCTCTTGAATCCTCACAACCCTGTGAAAATTGTGTTATCACTCTCTCTGTTTTACAGAGAAGGAAACTGAGGCACAGAGAGGTTAACAACTTGCCCAAGCTGACACAGCTTGCAAGCAGCAGAGCTGGGATTTGAATCTGGGTCCGGGTGATTTTGGAGCCCGGGTGTTGTGTCCCTGAATATGCAAGACTCCTTCTCCCCAGGAATCCTAGCTGACCCCTCCTCCATGGAAAACATGGATGGTTTAAAAAGTTTTTGTTGGGTATAAATAAAACAAAAGCAATTTTTAAAGAATGACTAATGGACAACTCTTCGTCTCCCAAGGAGCTGAGACCTCATGAGAGGAGGCAAAGACTGCATCCTAACCAACTCTGAGCTCCTAGGGTAGGGTCTAAGTCAGGGTCGAGTTTGTATCTTGGATGCTGAAAACAAAGCCTGGTGCATTGTCTGGAACCATCTGATGGATAATGAGTAAATTAGGGAGGTAGGAGCTCAGGAGGAAACAGGAAGAGGAGGAACTGCTAGAAGCTTCTAGCCTAGCAAGGAGCAGGGCAGGGGTGCAGGGATAGTGCTGACTGCGTCTAGGCGAGCAGAGCGGTGCTACCTGCCACACCCGGCTGAGCACCCACGCCACATGGCTGCTGTCACAGTGCCCTGTGCCTCATGTCAACATCACTAGGAAGAGGACAAGGGGCAGGAGAAAGGGTTGACACGTGACATGAAGACAACTCAGGGATTTGAAGCTGGGTGGATAGCAAGGAGTGGCTGCAAAATCTCCTTCCTTAGGGAAGAGGCTGGGTCCTATTATTGATCTCTGGGTTTAAGTGTCACTCAGGGCCACCCACTGAGTAGTACCTAGCATCCCGAAGCGGGAGAGAGAGGTAGGAAGAGAGAGAAGAAAAAGAGGAGGGCGGAGGAGAAAGTGTTGGTGAAGGCAGAAGGAGTGGCCAGGTGGCATCTGCAATGTCATCAGAGCTACCTTTGGCCCCATCAATCCTGTCTGTGGAGAACTGGTGCATTCTCGTCTGGAGCTGGGCACTGACCATCAGAAATGACGCCAGCCACAGCACCGTAGTGGCCGTAGCAGGAACTGGGGCCCTCAGTGCCCAATGCTGCCCTTTTAGTTGGTGGGTGGTAAGAGGTCCAGAGGGTCCAGAGGAGGGGCCAGGTGATGGCAGGGAGCAATTGGCGGGATGGGGGGACAGTGACTTTCGGCCACCCTCCTCCTGATGTTCACTGGCTGCCTGTTGGTGACTAGAGGGCAGGGATATTGCTCCCAGTCCCAAGGAATCCAGGAGCACGTCCTCTGTACAAACAGGTGAAATGAGCCTCCTATGCCAGTGCCCACACCTGCCCGCCCTGGAGGCAGCTGGAATAGTGGAGTGTATGGAGCTGCTCAGGTAGGCAGACGTGGGTTCAAATTCTGACAACCTGCTTGCCTGTCTGTGGGGCCGGGCAAGTTACCTAACCCCAGGGCCTCTACTCCCTCCCTGGGGAAACACGATGACAACCCCCCATCCCCCACCCCAGCAACACACAGGAGAGCAGGCGCCTCCCTGCCGCCTTCCCACTGTGCCTGCTGGAGCTCCGCTTGTAGCCCATAGGGGTCCTTCCCCACCTCCCCCCACGTCACCGTCCTCATGGGGGCTGACAACTCTTGCTCCACTCTGAGCCTTTGAAAACAGTGGTCAGTGACTTCCCATCTCAGAATGAAATCCAGAGCCCCCACCACGGCTTGTAAGACCCCATAGGAGTGGTTCTCAACCCTGGCTACACTTCAGGGTCATCTGGGGAGCTTCTAAAAACTACTGATGCCTGATCCCACTAACAGAAAATCTGATTGCATCGATCTGAGCTGGAGCCGGGCCTCAGTGCATCCTAACTGCTCCCCAGGTGCATCTAATGGGCAGAACCACAGCCCCCCGTGATCTGGCCCTCCTGCTCATCCTCAAGCTTGTCCTTCAGGGCCTTTGCTGGGATACTCTGTCCCTGGCTGTCCACCTGGCTCCCTCCCTTACCAGTCATAGCTCAGGCCTCTGACTATGCTATTGTGTCAGCCACCACCTGTGCCATCACATCCACTGATCCTGCTTTATTTTGCTTCATCAAACTTAGGACCCCTTGATGTGCCTTGATTTATCCGGGTGATGTCTTTCTTCCCACGGGTATGTTGTGAGAGCAGGGACTTGGCCATCTTGGTCACCACTATAACCTCAGTGCCTAAGCACAGTGCCTGGCGCCCAGTGGGTGCCTGATACAAACCTGCTGAAAGGAAGTTTGTCTCCACCGGCAGGCCTGAGCTTCTAGAAGGCAGGGGTGGAGTGTCTTCCATTTTGGTGTGCTGGCACCCAGCACAGGGGTAAGCATGGCTGTGACCAAGTCATGGTGCCAATGAGTTACTCTGAAGACAGAAGGGCTCATGGGGGTGCTGTGGAGCATCACGATTGGAAGAAAGGGTCCCAGCAAAGATGGAGGTGGGAAGATGGGCCAGAAGGGGTGCAGTTGCTTCAAGGAGGAAGAGAAGGGGCAGGTGGGGCAGCAGTGCTCCACGCTTAGCTGGCCCAAGGAGTTAGGCATCAGCGTGGACCACTGGACTAGACAGTAGGGGCAGTGACTGGGAGACTACAGGAAGGTGGTGTAGGGCAGAGCCAGCACCAGGTCCACCAGCGTGGGAGCTGATATGGATTAGGGCCGGGCATGGGAGCTGGCATCACCTCTACGCTGCAATGGTCATCAAACCTCAAATGCTGCTGCAAACCTCAGATGCCCCTGCTAAGTAGGCATGATGAAGGGGAAGGTCGGCTGGGGGCCCAGGCATCCCTGACCCATCCCGGAAGCAAATGGCAAAAGTGAGGCCAGAGGGGAAAAGGACTTGCTACACAGTGCTTCTGGCCGGGCTCCAGCAGAACAGAGCAGGATCCTGCCTGTGAGAGCCGCAGGCATAAGGAAATGATTGCGGGAAATGACACGGGGCTGTGTTGTGGCTCAGCCCAGTCCCGGAGGCCCAGCAGCAGCTCCCCCAGCCCTTCTGTCCTGGCAGCTCATAAGCAGCCGCTTGGCCCCTCTTTGCTCCCGAATCCAGCTCTGTTCTCTGGAGTCATCACTTTTCCATTGAAAGCCCTTGAGCACCAACTATATACAAGGCCTGGTGTGAACCTGTCCCACTGAGTCCTGCCTCACACCCAGGCCCCGACAGCTGTCCAGGGCAGGAGCTCAGAGTGGCTGTGTGCCTCCACAGCAGGACCTCAGCTGCAGCAAGAACAACTGCCCCAGGAAGACTCTGAAAGGTGCAGGAGCCTCTGTGAACTGGTGGGCTGCTACTGCCTGTGACAGTCATGGCCTCGGGAGGTGCTCCAGCGAAGCAGTGTCTGCCTGGGTCCTTCCTGGTGTTCGTTTCCTGTCTCCTGGGGCTCTGCACTGCCTGCACCTGCCCTCTTCTCCACACCTCTCCCCTACTGGAAAACCAAGGGCTGTGTGGCAGACAGACCTGGGTTTCTAATTTGCTATGTGGCCCCAGGCAAGTCACTGACCCCCTGGGGGCCTCACTGTCCTCACCTGCAAAGTGGGGAGAAATGGGATTGTTGTGAGGATTAAATGGGAGGACGCTTGGGTCCGTGCCTGGCATGCAGCAGGAAGCTTAACACAGGTTCCATTAGTCTCCTAAACTCAGCTAAAAAGGCCCGACTCCGATTCCCACCAGTGCATTTCCCAGCCTGTCCCCTCCCATCAAGCATTTGTTGTTTGAATTATGGTGCTGCAGNCTGTCCTCACCTGCAAAGTGGGGAGAAATGGGATTGTTGTGAGGATTAAATGGGAGGACGCTTGGGTCCGTGCCTGGCATGCAGCAGGAAGCTTAACACAGGTTCCATTAGTCTCCTAAACTCAGCTAAAAAGGCCCGACTCCGATTCCCACCAGTGCATTTCCCAGCCTGTCCCCTCCCATCAAGCATTTGTTGTTTGAATTATGGTGCTGCAGTTTGGTGTCTGGCTGCCTACAGAAAGGTGAGTCCTTGTCTGGTGAAACTGGTGCTGGACTGAGAATCGAGCCCACCCCTTACTTCCACTTGCCTTGGAAGACATCACCAACCTCTCAAACTGGCTTCCTCTAGAAAGCAGCCACTCCCTCAAGGATGCCAGCAAACTGCCAGATTCTTAAGGCCAGGCACAAGGCCGCTGGACAAGTATAGCCAGGAGGTGTGGTCTGGGGCCTGGCATTCTCAGAGTGGTCTTGGGAAGAACAGACCTGGGTCCTGAATTGGAAAAGAGCGGGATTCTGAGAACTTTGGGAGCTATGTGTAACAGGAGATTATGTCCAGACCCAGGGGAAGAGGCAGGGTGGGCAGCAGAAGGAAGCAGATTTAAGGTCTGTGGCAATTATTGTGGGGCCTGAATTACAGTGAGGTCTGTACCCCATTCTGCCCTAGCCTTGGCCATCACTCATCAACCCTCTCTTGAACCTCCCTCCCTCCCAAGAAGTCAGGGAGCCCAGGGGTCAACTGCAGCAGCCAGATCCCCAGGACTCTCTCAGGCACCAACTTGGGCCAATGCCAGGTCACAGAACAGAATCCCAGGCCTGTGCCTCTTCTGCCCACCCCACGACCATCAGTACACCTTGTCCAGAGTTGACTTCTGGACCTGAACGCAGTGTCATCCAGAATACAGCCCAGGGTAGATTCAGAGATACACACAAACCAAACTCTCTCTCCACTTTATAGATCTATAGATAGAAGCGAGCCCCACCTGCGCTCACTGGCCTGGTGAAGGGCCTCTGGGTCTCCATCTTTGGTATCAATCTATCAAAATCAGCTTTTCTGCACGAGACTGCTCATTCCTTACTGTACAACATGAATTAAATATATTATCTGTCTTTGTGCTGAGTCACAGGACATTCACAGTACAGTGGGGGAGGGCTGGGGAAGCCTGAGAGTCCGGGCGGCGCCTCAGGCCAAGGAGGCTGCGCTGGGCAGGGGGCTTGTGTGGAGGGGCAGGGCCCGGCCTCCCCTCAGCCCTTGTCATTCCAGACTCAGCCAAGTGTTGAGGAGACCGTGGGGACACAAGAGGGTGCTGAGTTGGGGTGGTGAGCGGTGCCGTCCTCAGAGGCCATGGCCCCTCGGGCTCCCAGTCCCCAGGAGTGGGCTCTTGGGATCAAAGCCTGTTCCTGTCTCACCTTCCTCCATCTCAGGCTGCAGCATCTACACCCCTCCCTGTTGTGACCACCCTCTGGGGAGGCTGGTACCAGGATCAGGTGGACAGAGCCAAAGGCTGAGAGGGAGGGGACAAGAGAGGCTGTGCCAGCCCCAAGGAGCCGAGTCCAGACTGGCACCAGTGTCAGGGTGACCCTGCATATCTGAGTGCCGTCCTCGGGACTCAGGGCTGGCTTATCAGCACTCGGGGACGATAAGAGAAGCTGGAGCCACGCTTGGGAAGGGGGGACAGGTAGGAGCCGGGTCAGAGCTCCAAGGGCAGTGAGTGCTCTACCCCCTGCCAGGTTAAGGCAACTCCATTCACACCAGGGACATGGTGGGGCTGGTCAAAGTGGCAGGAGTGCAGCTGGTGGTACCAGGCCACCTTGGGACACAGCTGGGGATACGGCAGCACACCGGTGCCACCTAGCATCGGTTCAAGCCGGAGGGCACAGGGGCCTTTGGCAAGGAAGGGACCAAGAGCAGAGGGGTGCTGAGAAGAGGAGATGGGGCCCCTATTCCCTCTGTTGCTCCAGGGACAATGGCCCTCAGCTGAGAGGTGGGCTTTGGCACACATGTGGGCACCCAAGACTCCAGGGTCTTAGACAAGGTGCCATGTCCCTTTTTTGCTCTCAGAAGGGAAGAAGGTGACACATGTGTGGGCTCCAGGGGTCAGAAAGGGGGTCCACCAAACTGGTGAGGAGGCAGGCCCTGGGAGAGGCAGGTGGAGCCTGCATCCAGGACATGGCACCTGGATGCTCCTGTCCATGTGGGTCCCACACTGGTGCCCGAGCACTTCGGGGTTGTGAGCGGGGCCCAAGTCCCTCCCTTCTCCTCTCAGGGAAGCAGCCTACACCCAGCCCAAGGAGAAGGACACCAGGGTGGTATGTGGGAAGCAGGATCAGCCGTGGCCAGCAGGGCTGCCAGGTGGTCTTCCAGGACGGCCATCAGCCCTCGTTCCTCAGTCCTCCGAGGCCCCATAGGCCCCAGCCTACCCGAATTTGTGCTTGATGTGACCTCTCATCCCTCGGGCCATAGCAGGGGGGGGCGGGCACTGCTCAGAAGATGCTCTGCCTCCGGCTCTTCCCTCGTCCTGCAGAATGGAGGGGAAGAAGACGGACTACAGGGAGGAGGCTGGGCTGAAGGGTGGCCAAGATCAGGAGGGATAGTTGTCTCTCAGAGCTGCTCTGACAGAGCAAGCAAGAGCACATACACAGGAACCTGTCAGCCCTGGGCTCAAATGCCATCTCTGCTACTTACTGGCTGCATGAGCTTGTGACTTAACCTCCCAGGGCCTGTTTCATTGACAATGCAATGGGGAACATTAACAGCA